CAGTCCCTGCCTCAAGCATCCTCACTTCAAGCATTCCTTGCTGAAGCCTTCCTACGCTGAGCATCCCTGCTCCAAGCATCCCAATTCCAAAAATCCCTGCCCCAAGCATTCCTTCCCTGACTATCCCAACCCCAAGCATCCCAACCCCAAACATTCCTTCCCTGAGCGTCCTGATCCCAAACATCCCAACCCCAAACATTTTTCCCTGAGTATCCCCATCCCAAACATCCCAACCCCAAACATTCTTGCCTGGACCATTACTGCTGCAGTCCCTCCAAAAGGGAAATCCCAATACGAGAATGGGAATTATGGAGATGGGAACACGGGGTTTTTTTCCACTTGGAAAAAAAATCTCCCATCTCTCTTGGAAGCTCCCGGCGCCGGCGGGATGCTGGTGTAGGAGCCAGGAGTGGGAAAGCATCATGGTGAATTGTCTCAGTGCCATCCGGAGCAGGGTTCCAGCTACAGGGATCCCCAGAATTGCTCCTGGATCCCATGGGAAGCAGAGCTGAGCTTCCCACGGCGTAAAGCAGCTCAGCTCTCTCAGCACCGGCGCTATTCCGGCTTTTCTCCGGGCTAAATGAGGACAGGAGCAAGCGGCTCAGACCCAGCGCTGGGGTCAGCTGGGGCCATGGAAACAGCTTGGAAAACAAGGCGGGAGAGGCAGCGGCGGCCGCCGGCTGCGCTGGGAAGCAGCGGGACCACGAGCTGGTGTGTTGGGTACCCGGCCAGCGGGAGCCCAGGGATCCCGTGGATCCAGCTCGCCACTCAGGCTTCCAAGATTTCCCTTATTTTCCACTTTTTGGGGGCGTTAAGTGTGGGTTTAGGGATTCTACCCCACTCGGCTTCTCTCCAGCATCTCCCCTCGCTGGCACCTGGTGGCTGTGGTGGTGGTTTGGGACCACGGCTTGGGATCAGGAAGGATTTTTCCCATCCCTCAGGACCTGGTGCAGTGCCCCCCAGGAGCGTCGATCCCCCCAGGAACGTTGATCCCCGGAGCAAGGGATTCCGGCAGAACCTTCTTTTTGTTCAGCTGTCACCAGCTGGGTGGTTTGTTATTGTAGGGTCTCCCCCCTGCCTCCCTGGTGGTGCCCCCCAACCCAACGTCCCAGTGGAGGATTCCAGTGGAGGATCCTGGTGGAGAATCCCCCTGGAAGCTGTTGCCAAGAGGAGGAAAACCAGCAGCTGAGGAGCACCGGGGGCTGCGCGGGCTCCACCGGCACCGGCAGCCGACACTGCCCCTTGGCCAGCCTGGCTGGCACTGGCCCCCCTGACCTCCCCTGCACCCCAACGTGCCCTCGCCCAGCCCCAGGGGGTGGGGACGTCTCTGTGTGTGTTTCCCACCCCTGATGCCACTGGGAAGGGCTCAGCAGGATCCAGCCTTCTCCAGCTCCCAAGTGTTGAGCTTTTAATCAAGTGGTTTTGGGGATTTTTACCCGGTGACTGCCCTGCTGCTTTGGGAGCTGCTCCATCCCCTGCAACCACGTGGTTCCTGCCAAAGGGCTTCATAACCCCCCAAATATTTCTGTGTCAGATTCTTATTAATAATATTGATTCTGAGGGCTCCTTTGGGGGGGTTTGGAGGAGGGTGGATGGAAAACCTGTTCCCTTCTTGGCTTTTTAGGGGGTTTTAGTCCATTTTTCTCACAGCTGGAAGTCATAATTTGAACTATAGGTACACAGACTCTAGGATATGTGGAATGTATGGATTGCTGGATATAGAGGGCTGCTGGATATATGGGATTGTGGAATATATAAGATCCTGGATGTAATTAGTTGCTGGATAAAGAAGGCTGCTGGATATATGAGATTGCTGATTATATAGGGGTGCTGGGTTTATAGGATTGCTGATTATTTGGGAGTGCTGGGTATACAGGCTTGTTGGTTGTATAGGTTGCTGGACATATAGGGTTGCTGTATATGTAGGATTATTGGATATATAAGGCTGCTGAGTGTATGAAATGGTCAGTTATAGAGGACTGGTGGATACACAGGCTGCTGGATGCAGGGGGCTGCTGGATGTACTCACTGCCGGCCATATGGGGTTGTTGGATGTACAGGTTGCTGAATATGTAGGTGTGTAGGTGGGTCTGTAGGACTTGGGTATTTAGGGCTGCAGTATATATAGGGGCTGCTGGATCTATGGGATTGCAGAACGTGTACGTTGCTGGATATAACGTGTTGCTGGGTATGTGGGATTTCTGTGTATATATAGGGCCTCTGGTTATGGGGGCTGCTGGATCTGTGGGGTTGTGGAATATATGATTGCTGCTTATGTGGGGCTGCTGATGATTTCACGGCTCTGGATTATAAATTGTTGATGATACAGGGGTGCTGGGTGCACGGGGGTGCTGGGTGCACAGGGCACCCTGTGTGTGTGGGTGTTGAATGTAGGATTGCTGGATGTATGGGGCTGCTGATGATACAGGGCTGCTGGATCTATGGGGCTGTTAGACCAGATGCTGGATATGCAGTTGCTGGGTCTCTATAGGGCAGTGGTGTCTATAGGTCAGCAGGATCTATAGGGCAGTGAGATCTGTGGGGCAGCAGGGTTTGTAGGGCAGAGCAGGCTCCATAGGGCAGTGAGATCCATAGGGCAGAGGGCTCTATATGGCAGTGGGATCCATAGGGCAGTAGGATCTATAGGGCAGTGAAATCCACAGGACTGCCATCCAGCCTGTGTCCAGCCCTCCCCACGGCTGGCAGGGCCGGGGTCCCCCCGTGTCCCCCCGCGCGTGTCTCGGGGGGGGTCCCGGCCCGGGCGAGCTGGGGGGCGGGCGCGAGGCCCTCCCCTCCGTCCGTCCATCCATCCCTACGTGCGGGCGGCGCTGGGACTAATGGCTCCCCCCGCTGGGTTTGCAGGGGGGCGGGGAGGGAGGGCCGGGGCTGCTGAGGCTGGAACAACTCGTTTCGTCTTTCCTCCCCGGACGGTCCCGCCGTTGCCGCCTTCGGCTTCGCCTCCTGCCCCGCGCACGTAAGTGCCGCCCGGACGGAGCGGTTCCGATCCCACAGCCCAGGCTGGAAACCCTCCAAAGCCAGGCTCAGCGTGTGTGGTTCTTCTTTTTTAATTTTTTTTCCCCTCCCTCTATTAAAGGCGTTTCAAACAGGAGGAATTTTTTAATTATTATTATTTTTTTTAATAAGCAGAAAAACAGATTAAAAAAAGAAGTATTTTCATCCTCAGCGGGATTTTCTCCCTTTTGTTGCAGCTGGAGGGTGAGGAAGGGGCAGTGCAGGAGCTGAACCAAAGTGCTGGGTTTTCTCTGTGTTTTAATTTATTTCCCTCCCCCCTCTCCAGGTTTTTATTCTTTCCCCGGCATGAATGGCAGGACATCTGGGCAGGCAGTGCTTTTTCTGGGAAAAACGGGCTGAGGGACAGAGGAATAGGTGCCCAGAGGGATTTTTGTGGAAGCTGCAGGAGTTAGGATGAGGGGCAGGGGGGCAGGGAATCAGTTTTTGGGGAGAAGCCACGAGGTCTTTCCATCTCCCAGTCGACAGGGCTGGGAACAAAAGGAGCTGGATGAGAGCACCAGGAAAGAAGGATTTATGTTTTTTATATATACATATATAGTATTTCTTCCCCCCCTGCTGATCTGGGGAAGGTTGTAGCTCTAGGATTAACCCTTTAGGAGCAGCAGGGGATGCTCACTCCCCATTCATCTTCACAGAATGAACTGTTGTCCCGTGTGTCCAGCCTGGATTGAAAACCCAGTTTATGGGATGGAGCAGCCTGAGATTCCCCTCCCCCCCCAGATCCACGGTTGCTTTGTGGGGCTTCACTGCCCAGCAGGTTTCCCCTCCCCCTGCCCTGGGTAAAACCTTGGGGCTGGAGTCCACTCCCCACCTGGAGCAAAACAGGTTTCCCTGCGCTGGTGTCACCATTGCAACTCTGGGGACACATCGGGGGATGAATGTGTCCCCCCTCCAAGGACTTAGAGGGGACTGGGGGTATTTTTCTCCCTGCCACTGTGCTCTGGTTGGGAAAATCCCTTTTGGCTGGGTGGGAGGAGGAAGAGGACGGCGTAGGAAGGACGGGCGAGGTTGTTTCTTCCCTGGTTTGCAAAGGAGAGCAGAGGCGGCGCCTCGTCCCCACCCTGCCCAGCACAAACCAGTGGAAAAGCACTTGCTCCCCAGACTTGATGGACCGGTCCCATCACTCCCAGCTCTGGTGCTTGGCGCTGGGAATGCCTGCTTGGCTCCGGGAATGCTGCAAAGGGATCAAAGCAAGAGAACCCCTATAAAGCTGTGACAACAACAGGGTGAGCCCTGTTCTGGAGTGGGGCCGCGGCGATTTGCTCTGGCGTTGTGCTGGGGGTTTCCACCCGTGGGGAAGGGGGAATTTTTGGGATATAGTCATGCTGGGGGTGGTTCCTCCCTGGTTTCGCCGCAGTCAGCACTGTCCTTATCTCCAGAGTAGCAACCAGCTGTGCTCAAGTGCGCGGCTTCGCTCACGGATCCTTCCCATGGTGCCGGCGCGGTCCGGAGGCAGGAAGCTCTGCCCACAGCCTGTGCTCGCTTTGTCAGATTTGTTTCCAGTCAGCTTTGCTGTATTTTTAGCTCACAGGAAGCTCCCCCCTGGGTCGCCACTGGCAAACTGCTGAAAACTCTGCCAGCGCCCGGCACCAAGGCATTAAAATCCTTGTCGGGGACAGGCAGAGCCACGGAGCGTGGAAGGCAAAACCACTTGGAGGGTCTTAACCAGGGTGGTCGAGCCAAGAGATGGGGGTGACAGGCTCCCTGGGTGCAAGTGCATGGGTGGCTCTGATGGTTTTGGTCTCTTTTTGGCATGTGGCCAGTTTTCTGGACACCGGTGCTGTCGTTTGGCGTTGCCAGGGCCGGTGTTGATACAGACGCGAGGTTATTTGAGGTGAAAACAACCCCTGGCACCGCCGTAGCCAGCTCGGCGGGTTCCACCCCTGTCCCGGCACCCACCTTCG